CTGCCATTTGTTTACTATTAGAGAGTTTCTGTAGGGTTACCATATTTAAAAAATAAAAAAAAAGGACACTCCACGGGGCCCTGGCCCCGCCCTTTTCCCCGCCTCTGGCCCCGCCCCAACTCCGCCCCTTCCCCAGCCCCAACTCCGCCCATTCCTCGCCCCTTCCCCAAAGTCCCCGCCCTAACTCCGCCCCCTCCCCTGAGCGCCCCGCATTCCCCCTCCTCTCTCCCAGCCACGCAAAAAGGGCTGCCCGAGCACTACGGGCTTCGGGCAGCCCCCAGAGCCCGGGAGGGGAAGTGCCCGGCCGGCGGCTCGGGGTCCGGAGGCATGGGGGCTGCCCGAAGCCCGTAGTGCTCGGGCAGCTCGGCTCTTAAACAGAGCCGAAGAGTCAGGGGAGGAGCAGAGCAGCCGCGGGAGGGAAAGTGCCCGGCCGGTGGTATTTTTCCCGGACATGTTCGGCTTTTTGGCAATTCCCCCCGGACAGGGGTTTGATTACCAAAAAGCCGGACATGTCTGGGAAAAACCGGACGTATGGTAACCCTAAGTTTCTGTAATATTTACCTGCAATGAATCACTACTGGGCCACTAAAAAAGTTGCTTAGGGCATTAACTCTGCGGCGTAATTTGAGGAGAAGATGAGGATCTTCAGGCACTCCATGATCTGGCCAGCTAGTGAACTGAATGTGAGTCACATCTCTCCCAGGTGTCTTCTCCTTTCTCTGGAAAATGTGGGATTGTTTCATTAGTACCACACCAAAATCAAATGTAAATATACAAAGTATAGAATAAAGCAGAAAAATAGGTAAAGTAGGCATCTAGTATTGCAACAGCGATTCCAGACACTGTACAGTCCCATGTTCTTTCCAAGGTTTCAGAAGTTGGAACATTTTCCAATTTTAATAACAAAAGAGTGGTTAAAAATAAGAGACACACATGTGGAACATGCCATAACTTGAAGAAAGAATATAATGACAATCCACTAAGGTTAAGTCCAATATTATCATCATAAGAATACTCTATTTTGTGATTATGTGGAATGTACCATGTATTCTCCACTGCACTTGTAAATCATTTAGGAAGTCACCATACAGGTCTATGTGCTGCCAAGTGTATTTGTTGGTTATTTTGCCATCTGTACTTTTAACTACCTGCTAAGGTCACACAGACCCACAAAGGAATGAAGGAAGTCTAAAAACAGCAACTCAGAATAGAAGTGGGGCTGTCAAACCTGTGACAATCACTGAAGTGGCTCATGATTTCTAAGTCACAGACCCTGCTTTAATATGCTGTTGCCAGGATCAGGCAGGGAGAAGGGAAAACACATTTTGGTAGCTGGAGAACTATGACTATGAATCCAAATAAGAAAAAAAATTACAATGGGTGCACTTCACCATTGACTACATGATGGAGATGAATCACAAGGACTAAACAACAATATACATCTTGACTGTTTCTATTCTCTTGTTGTGAATGGAGAGTTGAGGACAGAGATCTAACAGGAGAAGAACAATAAAACCTGTATTATTGTCTCTCAGGAAGCATTCTGCAGTCAGCAGACTATACCATCATTGTGGCAGTCTGAATATACCATGTAACATGTTCTCACCTTGTCCTTAGTTAGATATTAACTTGAAGCCAGGCCGGTTTAGGATGTAATATACTGAAATGGAATTATCTCACCCAGGCAAAGTGCTGGGATGCTACCACTGATTCATAACTGTATGCTTATCTTACACGCAAGCAATACTCTGCACTCTGACTAGCTGATGTTTGATTTATATAATGACCATCTGCTTATTCCCCAATACCTATTCAGTAGGTGAATCTCCAAATAGGGTTGCCAATTTTGGTTGGCTGTATTCCTGGACATGACATAATCTTTAATTAAAGATTAATCTTTAATTCCTGGAGATTCCAGGATAATCCTGGAGGGCTGGCAACCCTAGGGCAACTGACTGAGAGCCCCAGGTAGGCAATCAGAGCATAGAATTTGCAAAATTATTGTACAGTTGCTCCTACTAAGTTATGAGCTTTAATAATGTGTGTTTGGAAGTTTCATAAAGGTGTCTGAATTGGTTTTTTCCCCATTCTTAGCCTACATAAAAATCAACTGATATTTTACAGTACTTTGAATGATAATCAGCTGTGACAGCAGTCACAATGTATTTAATTTTAATTTTTTTCTTAATATGATCTTACAGCCAAGCAAGCAAGCACCAAACAAATTGATACATGAAAAAAAATTAATTCATATTACTTCTGACCTGCAACACTCTAGCTATTGTAATTTGGAGTCTTTCCTATGCATGATGCCACAGTGTTTTATTAACACTTAAGTCTTAAGGGGCTGGGTATGGCCACCTTACTCACAGTAAGTGGTAACTATCTTAGGCTTAGTGGGACTAGTTCCAGAGTAAGCTTCTACTCAATGTGAGGAAAGGTAGTAGAACTGGGCCCTAAAGATGAAAACATGGGACCAAGATGGGTCTGGGAGGGTGCTATACTATTTATGTTTCAAGATGACCTGAACCTCCAGCACATTCATTCCTTAAATCTAACACAACAAACAATAAATGGTGCCCTGACTAACACTCTATGTATCCCCACTGAAATAAAGTTGCAAGGAATAAAAGGGAAAAATTTATTCCTAAAGGGTAAATTCTACACTCAGTTACACTTTAGCAACTAGTGGTGCTTCACTGGTATAACTGAAATTGGTAATTGGCCTAAAAAACTTGAAAACCCCATACTGACCACTGATAGCTCTAAAACACGGAAGTTTATAAATACAATAGAGGTTACCGTAAACTGTAATTGTCCCCCGGTACAGTTCAGACAAGGACAGGCAATACGGTTCTAAGAGCCACATTTTTGAGTGAATTTACTAGGGGGAAATAATATTTAATGTGGTCGTCTCGGTGTTAATTTAAACTTATATTATTCTATGTTCATAAACCAATAACAAGTTTTCCTAATTTAAAAAGGGTAAATCTATGACCAAACCACAGCATATTGCATACAATTTATCCAGCCTTGTCAGCTGGCTTATAGAACAGAAATTACTGGTGTTCCTGTTGAGAATATAGGGCTCACAGTAAAGAGGGAAATCCTAGCAATGAGATAAGTTTCCAATTCATATTTGCCCTATGAAATTACACATCATCTACTAGGTGTTCTCTCAAGCTCTGTGTTGCTTGGTAGAAACAGGGGAAAATGCTAACTGTCACTGTTGTTCTGGAAGAATCTCTGATAATAGTCTCTTTATACCAACTATATAGACCAATTCAAATTATTCTCACATTAATAAGACAACTCACATTTGTAATATGGAGTTTCTGAATAATGTAGTCAGGACACATTTTACTTTCATTGCTCTTCACAACAATGTCCCCAAAAGTTTCAGTGCTATTCTCCGTTGTTGGCCAGTATTGGGCACATTTGTTCTATGAAAATATAAAGTTAATGGATTAGAAGCAGGATATCAAAGTGACAGTGAAATTAGGTTCTGAAGAAAGCTTGAAATAAAATAAAATCAACACCAGATAAAATACATAACCAATACTTCAGTACAATTTCAGTTTCCGATAAATACTGTAGTTTATCCCTTAAAGAGATTACCACTGCTTTAGTTAAACATTCAAAAACCCAAAGATCCAGATTCTGGCCTCATGCACAAAGCCTGAAGGGATTTACACAGAGAACAAGATGGGAAGGAATCCTATCCTCCAACCTAACTGCAGGGGCAAAACAGCTGCACAGTCCATGCACAGTCATTGTCACTGCCTGAAGGCTACAGTAAAGATTGCAGCTCACTCTGTGACTCCTACTTATATTTCTAATCAGTGAATATACATAGCTGCAGATGCAATAGTCATGTCCCAACCCCTCTCGCAATTCATGCCCAAATTCCCTTCCACTCCTGTTAGCAGTGTGGCTATGCTGCAAACATGTATGCTGCCAGCCAGCTCTGCTCCTTAAAACAATCAGAATATCAATACTCCCATCTGCATCTGAAACATGTGGCACTCCCAGGGTGGTGAGCACTCTCCTAATCGCTGCTTCCAAGTTTGGTTTCAGAAGTAGGAAAAGGAGGGCACAAAACAAAATAGCAGAGAACTGTGGAGACATCCCCAGGACATTAGGACAAGATGCTCGGGGGAGAGGAGCAAATACACAATATCCCCTCTTTCACTAAGTTTTGTGACAAGTTTGCAAGGGTGTGGGGGAGGGAGAGAGATTTTAGTACAGCTCAGCAAATTCTAACTCAGGGAGTTTGGGGGCAAGTTATACCCTCTTACGGGTTTATCTGCAAGAAGGTGGAATGTAGTTCCCTATTCCTTAGGGCAGTGCGTCAGATGATATTATTGAGAATGCTGCTGATCAAATAGTCTAAAAGACAGAACCATGTAGGCTTGTTAATGTTATTCAATTTCTGAGATTCTATCACAAATAGAGAGTAAAAACAAGAATGAACAAGGATTCAAAAGAAATACTTGAATGCAGAGAAAACATTTAAAGGAAAAAAGAAAAGCATAATTCACCACAGCAGAGCAACCTCCTGTATACTGCAGTTAATGTGTGTGTGTGTGTGTATATATATATCACGCTCACCCTATTATTTTCTTCACAGCGAGTCACCATAACAATAATTGTTGCCTTGTGTTCCCAGATCATTCTCCAGAAATCATCAGTGGTCTCATCCTTGGGGCCTAGCAGATAAGGTATTTGATAAGAGATCCCTTCCCAAAAATTAGGAAACACAGAAAGACTAGAACATAATTATCATACCTATTATGCTCAGAAGCCATACAAAGGTCATGCAATACTAGCCATAGACTGAGGCCTGGTCTACACTACGAGTTTAGGTCGACTTTAGCAGCGTTAAATCGAATTAAGCCTGGACACGTGCACACGACGAAGCCCTTTCTTTCGACTTAAAGGGCCCTTTAAACCGGTTTCTTTACTCCACCTCCGACGAGGGGATTAGCGATAAAATCGGCCTTAGCGGGTCGGAATTGGGGTAGTGTGGACGGAATTCGATGTTATTGGCCTCCAGGAGCTATCCCACAGTGCTTCATTGTGACCGCTCTGGATAGCACTCTCAACTCAGATGCACTGACCAGGTAGACAGGAAAAGCCCCGCGAACGTTTGAATTTCATTTCCTGTTTGCTCAGCGTGGAGAGCACAGGTGACCACGCAGAGCTCATCAGCACAGGTAACCGTGATGGAGTCCCAGGATCGCAAAAGAGCTCCAGCATGGACCGAACGGGAGGTACGGGATCTGCTCGCCATATGGGGAGATGAATCAGTGCTAGCTGAACTCCAAAGCAGTAAATGAAATGGCAAAATATTAGAAAAGGTCTCCAAGACCATGAAGGACAGAGGCCATAACAGGGACGCACAGTAGTGCCGCGTGAAAATTAAGGAGCTAAGACAAGCCTACCACAAAGCCAGAGAAGCAAACGGAAGGTCCGGGGCAGAGCCGCAAACATGCCGCTTCTACGCGGAGCTGCATGCCATTCTAGGGGGTGCAGCCACCACTACCCCAACTGTGTGCTATGACTCCCTCACTGGAGAAACACACAGGAAGCGGGTTCGGGGTACGAGGAAGATGAGGATGGAGATAATGTAGATAGCTCACAGCAGCAAGGAAGCGGAGAAACTGGTTTCCCCAATAGCCAGGATATGTTTATCACCCTGGACCTGGAACCAGTAACCCCCGAACTCACCCAAGG